AGTTTGGGGAAGATCCAACGAGGGGAGCTTCTGAATGTGGGGCCTCTGCAGAAGGTGGAAGAACTAAAGCCTCAATGGCAAGGTCAGCAGGGGAAGGTAGCTCGGCAGTAGGGACGTCTGAAGAGGCGGGGGGCTCACCTTCACCTTCTGCTTCAGCCACCTCTGTGTCTTCATCGCTGGGAACATCAAAGTCGAAATTCAAGCCAAGGTAGGTCTCCTCAGCTTGTCCTTGGAAAGCAAGCCACCCAGAGACCCATTTGGTTGCAACATCATCCCGCAGCCTGGCAATGTCTTTATCCTCTGTAGATATAGCAGCATTCAGCCCTTAAAACTCGCTGCAAAGGGCACCATTAGCATCAAATAAGGCAACAAAATCTCTGGTTAAACTTGTAAAAGAGCTTTGAGTAGTAGAAGCCTCCTGGCTAGCCTTGGCCCAAGCATCCCTAGTCTTTTTCTCCCCCTCCTCAGCTTTAGCCTTCGCAGCTTCTAAGCCCTCAATGGTGGAAGCCTGTTTTTCCACTTTGTCGTGTAGCTCTTGTACTGAGCTCGCAGATCATCATTTTCAAAAGCCAACTCGGTAACCTTAACTTCGTGAGCCCTCACCATTTTGGCAGAATTCTCCGCAGACAAGACCCTGTTTATTAAGCTCTTGGCATGGATAGCAGACTTGGGACAAAAGGGAAATAGACAAAAGTTAGGAAAGTTCAAAAAGAAAGAAGATGTCATAAATGTGAACAAGAACTTACCGTAGTTAATCCGTGAAGAACAGAGCTTATTGAATCCTCAAGAGACAGTGAAAAGGCCCTTTTTATATCAGCATTGGGAAGAATAGAGGAGAGGGCCCCTGCAGCAAGGTCGGGTTATCAAGAAAGGAGCCCCCACTTTTGCCTGCCTTGAGGAGCTCCTCCTTCATAGCCTTGGAACCCTTAGGAAGGGGAAGATTGATTGGTGCAGCAGGCGGATTAAGAGAGGCCAAGATCTGGGAGGTCGTCTCCACACCTCTTTCGACCTCAGAAGCAGAGGGGGATGCCTGTCCTGACGCAGTAGCGGATGGAGTAGCAGGAAAAGTGCCTTGGGAAGAGAAGTCTAGGATAGATGAAGTAAAGGGAGTGAGTGACATGCCTGTCCTTGGCACCTTGGCAGGAGGAGTGGAGCCATTGGCAAAGTTGGGTCCTGACTTGCATTTGGCGCTACTCTTGCTACTGCTCTTGTTGCTGCCCTTGATATTCTTCATTTGAGAAAGTTTAGCCCTGAATTTAGCAGTAGTGGGCTCCATTGAGGATGAACCTGCGGGACTTAAGAATAGCTAAGCCTCACCCTTAGACAGAGAAAAGAGGAGAGAGGATACAAAGAAAAAATGTTACCAGATATATCTTCGGCAGAAAGCGGGATGGGGCCAACAACGAAAAGTGGAAGGGGAGCTTCAACCCTCACCTCAGGAAGGCAGAACTCGTGTTCTACAAGAGCCCAAGGTTGGATGAGCTCAGAATATTTCTCAAATTTGCACTTTTTCAATTTCTGTAATACTCGCTCCTCTTCAGCGCTGAGCTCAGGTTGGATACCTAGAAAACCAAGGAAAACAAGAAATAAGTTAACAAAGCATCCAGGCTTAGATCAAATACGCTCTGGGTAGAAACATATCCAAATTATCAGGGGCAGACCACTCTGTAGGGATGGGGAAGGTATCAGTTTTATTCTCTGAGTTGAACTCCCACTGTGTACTGCCTACAAAGAAAAATTATTTCTTCCAGCCTTTATAGGAGCTTGGGAGGTCAGAGACGACCTGTTTGGCCTTAGTCCTCTTAGAAATATACAGAAAACCGTCAGAGGAGGTCTGTTTGACATTAAAAAGCTCCATAAGTAAAGAAACAGTAGGGACCCCAAGCTTATGATCCTTAAAGAAGACTAGTAAACCCATAAGAACACCCCAGAAGTTGTGGGAGAGTTGGGCAGGGCATACATTGAAATGTTGAATGACACCTTTGATAACAGGATGAATGGGGAAGCAAAGTCTGTTATCAAAAGCTGCCAGGAAGAAACAAACCTTCTTATGGACATGGTGAACATATGTGGTGTACTTATCAGGACTCCAGGGCTGAACCCCTAGGGGAAAATGAAAGCGAGCACTGAGAACCTTCAGGTCAGTAGGGGTAAGTCCGTTGGGACCTACAAGTTCAGTGTTCCTAAAGGTAACCCCTATGCCTAAACCAATGACTTCCACACCACTCACTTTACCCTTGTCCTTATCAGGTCTATCAGGCATGTAAGAAGAGGTGGAGGGGACCTTCTCGGTTTTCACCTCTACCTCGGTAAAATTCACACTAGGAAAGTTGTCAATCTCGTCACCTACATCCCCTAAATCAGAATCTCTTTCGGCAGACCTATCGCCTGAGAAAAATAGAGGAAGGAGTTGCTCTAGAGGAGACATACATTATTGGTAGAGAGAAAGGCAGATTGAAAGAATGATAGAGATGAGGGATACTAATCAAACACCCCTTAATAATCCTAGGGTCAGCACTGTACCCCCTAATGGTAAGAATTCGCACAATGGAGTTCTAATCCACAAAGCGGGGAAGAGGAGATAAGCAATAATCTCGATTCCAAAAGTAAAAGAACCGAAAAATCCAAAAAAAAATGGACACCTCGAATTTGAGGGCTCTAGAGCGGGGAAAGGTAAGAGAAAGAAAAGGGGGCAGAAAAGGTGTACCTAGACAGGGAAGAGAATCAGAAACAGCAACCGAGGATAAAATTGGAGTGAAGAAGCAAAGCAAGACTTCGAGTTGAACCCAGAATGCACAGTCTAAAGCAGAAAATAAGGGAATCACGTGGAGGAAAGCCCAGAAATTGAGGAAAAAAAGAGCCGGAGACGAAGGTGAATAGCGTAGAAGATGAACAGGGAATTTTGAGCGGTTTTCGGGTAATCGTTTGAGCATTTAAAGCTTGAATGACGTGGGCTGAAACATGCACAGGAATCGAGGAAGCCATGATTGCTGTAAACCGTCAAAGAGTCCCCCCCCCCCTACGTGTATCTCATATGCGAACTAAGGTCAGCTAAGTGCAGACATGGTCTAATGCGAAAAGCAACTCAACCCATGCCCAAGCTCGCTTAAGCCAAGGGCTGGGGGGCAACTGATGATACCTAAAGTAAATTTCAAGTGCTAAGCTCAGAAGGTCAGCTCGGACCAGGAGGTTAGGCACATAAGTAGAGGTCAGAGAGTAAGGGCCGAGTATCTCTTAAAGCAAGATAACAGTTGGATAACCACAAGAGGATCCTAAAGTGTTAGGAGGCTGTAATCAAGGCACCCAATCTCAACCAACCAAGATCTTTTGCTAGAATTAAGGAAAAACCCACGAAATAAGGGCAAGAATCTCGGTCAAGATCCTACTGAATAGGAAACAGCCCTATAAATACTATATAACGCCCCCAAAGAGGGGAAGAAGACCCTAGAGGTAAGAAATAGTCATTGTACTCTTGTAATCATCATTATTGAAAGGTAAGGAGCAAGAGTCTCCATTAAAGAGTGGATTAGCCGAGCTCCCGAACTGTTGAACCACTATACTTCTTCTGTGTTAATCCTCCCAGTCCCTAGAAAAATATTTATTTCATTATCACATCACCATCACTGCAAAACATAATTACGATTCATTACTCATACAATTCGATTTACACCATCAGCTTTCATATGCAATGCCCTTCTTTCCCAACTTGTTTCGAACTTCTTCTTGCGCTCTCTTCATAGCCCCTAATTTTTTCAGTAGCTCTGTCATTGTCCAGACTAAGGTTGCAGCACTTGTTTCCGTACCAGCAATAAATATGTCCTGCCAAACAAAAAAGATTATGTAACTTGTTTTCCAGACTAAGTTTTCGATCAATTAACTTATAGAAACATTATTGGAACCTTGAAAAAATAGATTACCGTGAGGACAGCTTTGATGTGATCAAACTTTATATCAATTGCAAGTGTGCCATCCTTCTGCAGATGGAGTAAAACATCAGTAATATCCTCTTGGCCGGATTTTGCACTCTCGTCATCAAGGTGCTCATCAATGATTTCCTGATAGAACAAGTCCAGTTCCTTGAAAATTTTCTCAAGCCGAGTTGATTGGCCTGTAAGTCTGTCAACCCATCTCATAAAAGGAAAGTGGTCTGACTTGAAGAAGCTTCCTAGGACGGACTCAGCTTCCTCAAGGAGGCTATGGAATTTACTTTTCTCAGCCCCTTCATCGTCGTAGCTCTTTCCAAAAGCAATTCTACAAATTATGGCACTTGTTAGAGAGAGAGTCAATTCACTCAGATTGGTAAGTTTAGAAGCCGAAGCATGATTGGTGATTTTATTGATCATTCGGGAAACTTCGACTTCCCTAATGGAATGAAAAGACTGAACCCTCTTAGAGTTGAAGAGTTTAACAACACAAATCTTTCTCATCTCCCTCCAGTAGTCATTATATGGAGCAAAAACCACATCTAACCCATTATAAGACAGCTTTTGTTGGCCAAGCAACAAAGGCCTGCTAGCGAATTCAAGATTATGGGTTTTCAGGGCTTCTTTAGCCATTTTTGCTGAAGAAATTACAAGGGTCGGCTTGAAGCCGAGTTGCAAGGTCATGAGGGGGCCGTATTTCTTAGAGAGTTGCCATTGGCAGAGATGCGGAGTTGAGTTATCGAGTAGCTGGTGTAAGTTACCAATGAAGGGAAGTCCCGGAGGGCCTGGTGGAATAGGCATGGCTCTATGTTTTTTTCTGCAACTTTGAAGAACAAAGCAGAGGAGAGGCAGAGCTAAAAGAAAGAGAAGCAATGCCGTCATGGTAAGTGTAGTTACTATGAGCATGTACTATGTATGTGTCCAACGAATATAAGTTCCCTTAAATAGACCACTCTTGCATAACAAAAGAAGAGAATCCAAAGTCATTTTTTACCCACTAATGCTATGTTGACCAAATTTTAAAATTAAATTTGGAGTTCAAATAATTTGGCAACATATTATTTGGAGTCTTGATAGGGGCCCAAATGACATGACACCAAATAAAGAAGCTCAAATCAGCTGTCATGTCATTTGAGTTCTAAATTTGTCAATATAACATTACTCCTTTTTACCTGAGCAATGCTATTGAGACCTAATTTACTGATCTAATTTGCTGACCTAATTCACTATGACATTTGGATTGACTATGTGGCCCATCAAACATTGAAACTTAGTGTTGATCCAATAGTTATGTTGAAGCCACATCATTATGTCAATAAATTAAATCAAATTTTTAGGTCCAAATAATATTACTCTTTTTACCCAATGTTTTTAGCTGATAGTCATGACATTGATTACACTTCTGTACCGTCGACCTACTTTTCGCTATAGTACCGAAAAGTAGGTTGTGATATTTACCTTACATGTGTTTTAAAAAAACATAATAAATGATCGGTGAAAATTAGTATATACTTGAACCAAAAAGTTAAACCCAAAAAAAGTAACGGGTTCAAAAATTGTATTTCATCCCAAAAACTTGTAATCCCCAAAAGTATTGTAATCTAATCCCAAAAATTATAAAATCACCCCAACAAGCCGTAACACATTCATAAAAGATGGAACTTCACCCCCAAGAGTTGAAACCAACTCTAAAAAGTTATAATAAAATTCAAAAAAGTTGAAACTCCACCCTCAAAAAGGTGAAATCCCATCTCAAAAATTGTAATCTAATTCATAAAAGTTAGAAGTCTATCCCCAAAAATTGGAACCTCACTCCCAACAGTTAGAATTCATCCCAAAAGATTATAACCCAATTTAAAAAAGTTGAAACTGTAACATAATTGATAAATGTTGCAAACCACTCCAAAAATTAGAACTCAATTCAAAAGATTGTACCCAGAACCTAAAAAGTTGTATCCAAAGCCTAAAAGGTTGAAACCCAAAAGATTGTAATCCATAGGAGAAAAAAAAAATGTAACAAAATAATTAGGACCGACCGTGACCATGGGCGATAGATTGTAATTTAAATTGCTCAATATTACACTTTTATCCTCTAACTATCACAAAATTTGAAAAAAAATTAGGTTAAGTTGTAAAGTAGAATAAGTAGGATAGACCGTAACCACAAACGACTCATCATGATTTAAATTGGTTAATATTACATTTTTATCCTTTAACTATAACCAAATTTGTTTAAAAAATATTCAATATTTTTAAATAGTCCGTTTTAAATAAGAATAATTAAGTACCAAATCAATTAAAATTTTATAGGATAAAATTATCGAAATTAATTTGATGAATTTAATGATAACTAGATGAATTTGAATTTGAATTTATTGAATTGAATGTTAATTAGGTTAAATTAAATATTACAGGGAAGATATTGATACAATTGATACTTTAGAGACTGAATTGACAAATATATATAACTTTAGGGAAAAACATGTTATTAAAGCATTTGTTAAATTGCGACGGATCGTCACTTGTTACGGTCGGTCGTAATTTAACAAATAATTAATTATACTTTTATCCATATAATTATATATATTTATCAGTTTAGTCCTTAAATTAAATTTATTAATTTGACCCCTAAAATAGTCAATTTATGTTTCAATAGTCCCAAACAAACTTTTAACATCCAAAATTATTCAATAAATTTTCAATTTATCAAATCAAAATCAAAGTAACATGCAATTTTATCCAATTAATATTTAATTCATCAAATTTATACTAAATTAACATTTAATTGTTTAAATTAACATTCAAATTCAAATTCAACTAAAAAACATTTAATTCTTCAACTTAACATTCAATCTCATCTAATTAATATTTAGTTTATCAAATTAACACCAAATTAACATTTAATTCATCTAATTTATATTCAAATCCATTTAATTAACACTTAATTTATCAAATTAGCATCCAAAATCATCCAATAAAGATTCAATTTATCAAATCAACACCAAAGTAACATGATATTTCATCCAATAAACATTTAAGTCATCAAATCAATGCCAAATTAATATTCAATTTAAAAAATTAACATTTAATTTCATCTAATAAACATTCAAATTAACCTATTTAACATTAAATTCATCAAATTAACATTCAATTTCATCCAATTAATATTCAATTTATCTAATTAACACCAAATTATTAATTAATCAAATTAATATAATTAATATTCAATTTTATCTAATTAATATTTAATTAATCAAATTAACATAAAATTAATATTCAATTCATCTAATTTATATTCAAATTAATCAAATTAACATAAACAATCATCCAATAAAAATTTAATTTATCAAATCAACCCCGAAGTAATAAGAAAATTCATCAAATAAATATTTAATTCATCAAATAAACACCAAATTAACATTTAATCTAACTATTTAATATTAAATTCATCAAATTAAGAGTCAATTTCATCCAATTAATATTCAATTCATCAAATTAACACCAAATTCATTAAATCAACAACAAATTAGCATTCAATTCATCAAATTAACACAAAATTAATATTCAATTCATAAAATTCACATTCAATTCCATCTAATAAATATTTAATTCATCAAATTAACCTAACATTCAATTCTATCCAATAAATATGCAATTCATCAAATTAACACTGAATTAACATTTTATTCATCCAAGTTATATTCAAATTCATTCAATTAACACTCAATTCGTCAAACTAACATCCAAAATCATCCAAAAAAAAATTACGTTTATCATATAAACACCAAAGTAATATGAAAATTCATTTTTTTTAATATAATGACCACAAATCAAAAGATCAAAATTGCATAGAAAAGCAATTTACATAAGTCTAAAACATAGCAAGAAATAAACGTTTTGTTCTCCAAAAGCATTAATGAGAAGACTATATGAAGTTCATTACTTCATTTGGTCTATTAATTGGATCCCAAAATTTGTTTAGTATAGCATTGTTGTAATACAATGCAATAATATTTCCTAAGCCTAAAAGCTCTTTCATCCTGGCTGCGCAACCTGGCATGCTTGTTTGTGACAACAACATCAAGCTGAGCAGCATGCTCCACAATCTCTTTCCTCTTCCTTGTGGACACATTGTGCGCAATCTGCGAAGACCCGTAAAAAAAAAAAATTACTAACATGCTAATTATGTCGTCAATTATGATTCTATATTACTAAGTGTTATTTTTTAAAAAAATTTAAATAAATAAATGAACTTTAATTATGAATTCTTTATATAAAAACAAGTCAAATGATCATAATATAGGTCATATTTTATGTTAAAATAAAAATGTCAGAGTGTCTGAATGATATATTAAACGAATAATATATAAATAATATGTTATTTAGATGGAGATGTTATAAGAAAAAAAAGGGGACTAATGTCATATGAAGGTGCCTAGCCATCATTTAAGTGATGAGGGTGTCTTATTAAAAAAAAAACCTTGGACCAAATTTGGACAGTTGTCTAATGACATCACATGCATTGCAAGCCTGGTGACGTGAGCTAGAGGAATTTTGGCTATAAATAGCCATGAAGCCATGGCCAAAACGCAGAACATGTTGCAAGCTTGGTGACAAGCCTGGTGATATGAGCTAGAGGAGTTTTGGTTTTATAAATAGCCATGAAGTCATGGTGGAAACGCAGAACAAGGCAGAGAGAGTGAGAGAGAGAATAGAATAGAATAGAAGAAAAAAAATATATGAAATTTTGGGGTAAAAAATTGAGCGATGATTTCAATTCAAATAACTATTAAATTTACATATTTGATTCACGGTATTTTGAATTTCGCATAGTCATTGGTGTTCTGAGATATGAAGTAGTATATAATATGCTCCTTGTATTTTAAATCTCTTTGTAAATGGTGTCATTTGATTATCTGAAATTTGTATTCTTATTGATTATTTTGATTGATACGACATTCTGATATTTTCATCGATTAACTTATAACTTGGGTTAAATATTTTGGGATTGATTGGTACATATGCACAGTGTACTTGAGACATAATTGATGAAATGTGAGTATGACCTATGTGGGGTGCAATTGTGATTACAACCATGTGGGGTGTGATTAATTATCATGAGTATGGATTCATACGTTCAAGTGTCACTTGTCATGTCACCAAGAGAAATCGAGTATGAGACTATGTTTGATAGCAGTTGAGCTATGTGTCCTGTCGAATGTGTTTCTTGATTTTGTTATCCATGATTCTTATCATTTGAATTATTTGGTATTTGGTCATTCATATTTTTCTAGTTGATCATATTGTTTCCTATCATATTATATACTTCCCTGCTTTTACTATATTTTTTTCAGGATAATCTCGGAGAGAATGACAAAGTTGATATTTGAGGAATCAAAAATGGACGAATCTTGATATTATTTTTAACTTTTATTGGTATTTAGAGATCAAAATTGTGATTATAAATTTATTGAGGCAATTAGAACTCTGTCATTGTACTCGGAGATATTTGTGGTTTATTGTAATCGATTGATTTAATCAAATAATGCGTCCCAAAAATGAGGCGTTACAAACTAGTATCAGAGCTTAGGTATCAGATCTTATCGGGATCTTGTGGGAAGTGAGACTATCAGCCTTCATTGTAGGTATAATAGTTTAAAGTATAAGAGAATAGACTTCAGATTTTATATACGTTGTTATAGGAAGTGAATTAACAAGTTTCTGTTGCACAAGTATATAGGTTGGAATTGGCGTCAAATCTTTGGGTTATATAGTAAATAGTTGAAATTGGTATCCGAGTGCGCAGCGAATATTCGTGCAAGGTATTCATACTTATTTAACCCTCAAGATTAGTATCGAATTTT